CTTCTTTGTGCTGCTGCTGCTGCTTCCTTCCATAGACCAACTAATTCCTCATAAGAAGCCTTTAGCTTGTCTCTTTGCTGCTGCTGCTGCTGCTGCTGTTGCTGCTGCTGCTGCTGCTTCCATACTTGACGGCGAGACAGGGTTGTTGTGCTGCATGTAGATGTTGTTGTTGTTGATGCTGCTGCTGCTGCTGTTGTTGCTGTTGTTGCTGCTGTTGTTGTTGTTGTACTAAAAGGGACTACTAAGAAGGGATACACCTCACGTGATGAACCCTCTTGTGCTGCTGCTGCTGCTGCTGCTACTGCTGCTGCACCACCATCCAAACCCATCACCTGCTGCTGCTGCTGCTGAATTGCTGCTGCTACATCACCTTCATGGGGTGCAGCAAATGCAGCAGGAACTGCAGCAAACACACATCCTGCATACACACAAACAGCAGCAGCAGCAGCAGCAGCAGCTCACAAAGACGGAAATGTATTAAAGTACTTGCATGCATGCATGCATGCATGTATGCAGAGAAATACATTAATATACACACTAATATATAAATAATATATTATCTATATTTAATTATATTATAAATATAATTTGCTGCTGCTGCTGCTGCTGCTGTTGCTGTTGCTGCAGAGACACCGCAAAGCCGTAAAAATGATTTGCTGCTACCAATGGTTATTTTGCTGTTTTCTTCTTTTTGTTTATTTATTTAATGAAATAAATACATAAATATAAATAAATAATTAAATATAAATAAAATAAATAAAAATACAATTAAAATGATGTATTTTATGCATTTATTTTATATATATATTATATAATTATTTGGGGTGTATAGGCAGCTCAGCTCGTGGTCACCTTCTGCTGCTGGTAGCTCACCTGCTGCTGCTGCTGCTGCTGCAGCAAATAAAGAGACTATAGATATCATTTTAATTAATAAATAAAAATAAAAAAGAAAAATAAACCTTTTTAATAAAAAAGAGCCAACAGAGAGCCGTCAGGCTTCTTCTGCTGCTGCTCCTGGTTGCTGCTGCTGCTGCTGCAATTTGCTGCTGCTGCTGCTGCTGCTATTTGAGGTGCCTATACACCCCAACCTGTTTATTTAATAAAAGAAAAGAAGAAAAAGAATACCTTTTAATTTAACGATAACAAGAAGAGGACTACTTATTTACTTCTTTTCTTCTTAATAAGGAGGGGAGAGAGAGAGAGAGACAGCAGCAGCAGCAGCAGGAGCAGCAGCAGAGCGCTGTTCCTGCTGCTGCTCTTGCTGCTCTCTCTATCCTTTTTTCTATTATTTGCTGCTCTTTTTTTCTTATTTTTTTAGATAAAATACCTTATTTATTTATTTATTTATATTTATATTTATTTATTTTATTTATTTATTTTATTTATTTATTTATTTATTTATTATTTATTATTTTTTTTTATCTAACTAAACCCCACAACAGGGTCACTTCGCGCACCTATAGAGCGCTAGGGTTTAGGGTTTAGGGTTTAGGGTTTAGGGTTTATAGTGTAAGGATAGATGACGTTTATAATTTTTCTTTTAAAGAAATATATATATGTGTGTGTGCACACTGTTGCTGCTGCTTCTGCTGCTGCTTCTGCTGCTGCTGCTGCTGCTGCTGCTGCTGCTGTCTCATAGTATATCCCTATTATTAATGTTTTATTTATACAGACAAAAAGAATTAGCTGCCTATACACCTCAATTGCTGCTGTGTGCATGCACTATGTTTATAAATAAAACAATAAAAGGAAAATATAGTTAAGGAAAAAGGAGACAGCAGCAACAGCAGCAGCAGCAGCAGCAGCACTGACAGCAGCAGGAGAAGAAATAATGTTGCTTTGTTACTCATTACAGTGACAGAAAATGCCACAACTGCGGCGGCGGCAGCAGCAGCAGCAGCAGCAGCAACTGCAGCAGCAGCAGCAGGAATAGGAGACGTAGAAGTAGCAGCAGCAGCAGTAGCAGAAGTGCAGCAGCAAAGATTGTGCTGCACTGCGTGCATGCAAAGCATGCATGCATGCAATACAATTGTTCATGCATGCCGCAACAGCAGCTTGCATGCATGCAGACACAAAGCATCCTGCCTCCATCTGCATGCATGCATGCATGCATGCATACATGCGTGCAGCGGCTGCCGCTGCTGCTGCTGTTGCTGCTGCTGTAGTTGCTGCTGCTGCTGCTAAGGGTGTCCCTCTGTATTGTATAAATTGTTCGTTCTGTTAGGCAGCAACAATTAGCGACAGCAGCAGCTTCTGCTGCTGTTGCTGCTGCTGCTGCTGCATGCACTGATTATTATTTATTTGTTGCAGTGTCTCTAAGGAATACACAAACCCTAAAAAAGTGTTTATATTAGGGTTTAGGACTGTAAACCCTAAACCCTAAACCCTAGGCGCTAGACCCTAAACCCTAATGGTGTTTATTTCTTTTCTTTGCTGTGCATGCAATGCAAACCCTTATACACTCATCCTATGCCTCTTCTCTTGGGGCAGCAGCAGCAGCAGCAGCAGCAGCAGCAGCAGCAGTAGCAGCAGCAGCTTCTGCAGCAGCTGCTGCGATGACTTGTTAAGAGTTGCTGCAAATTGAGGCAGCTAGTAACGTTACAATTGATGCAGCAGCAGCAGCAGCAGCAGCAGCAGCAGCAGCACCTCCTGCTGCTGTTGCTGCTGCTGCTAATCAGGCTGCTGCTAAACGGGGGGATGCTACCGCTGGTGGTACTGTGTACTTGCTTGTGCTGCTGCTGCTGCTGCTGCTGTTGTTGCTGCTACTGTTGCTGCAGCTACTATTACTGCTACTGCTGCTACTATTACTTCTGCTGCTGCTGCTGCTGCTGCTGTTGCTGCTGTTGCTACCCGCATGCAAGAAGTCGTCGCTGCTGCCTGTTTGCTTAGCTAGCGACTGTTTAGATAAAGACACACAATAAGTTGTGCTCCTTTTGCTGCTGTTGCTGCTGCTGCTGCTGCAGTTGCTGCAGTTTTTGCAGCATTTGCACTTGCTGCTGCTGCTGCTGCTGTTTATAACACCAGGTGTATTAGCAGCAGCAGCAGCAGCAGCAAGTGGGGCGCAGCCGATGCAGGAAGGGTGGGTGTTACTCCCCTCCTTTTATTTATTTATTTATTTAATTAAATAAATAAATAAATAAATAATAAATAAATAAATAAATAAAGATGTCTTGCTGCTGCAGACATACTTGCCTTATTAAACAATTAGCAGCAGCTGCTGCTGCTGCAGCAGCAGCCCCCCAGCTGCTGTCTGCTGCAGAGCAGCAGCACACCAACAAGAAAAAAAACAGCAGCAGCAGCAGCAACAACAGCAGCAGCAGCAGCAGCAAATAATAAATTTATTAATTAAAAATAAAATAAAAAGAATAAAATAAATAAATAAATAAATAAGACAAAAAAAAGAAAAGAATCTGTGTGTATAATAAGTTGCTGCTGCTGCTGCAGCAGCAACAACAACAACAACAACAACAGCGGGAGAGAGGCTGCTGCTGCAGCAGCTGCAGCAGCAGCAGCAGCAGCAGCAGCAGCGAATGCATCGATTGACAGGTGCTTCTGTGAGTGTTTATTGATTAAGAAATAAATATAAAGTTTATTGCTGCCTAATTATTGCTTCTTTTGCTGCTGTTGCTGCTGCAGTTGCTGCTGCAGTTGCTGCTGCAGTTATATATACTATATTGCTGTTGCAGTTGCTGTTGTTGCTGCTGCTGCTGCTGTTTCTGCTGCAGCAGAGAGGGTATTAATTTATTGGCCTTGGGGGTATTTGCTGCTGCTTTGCTGCTGCAGCAAATAATTAACAATTCTTTTAGCAGCAAACGCAGCAGCAGCAGCAAGTGTTTGCTGCTTGTGGGCTTTCTTCTTCTTCCTCCTGCTGCTGCTGCTGCTGCTGCTGCTGCAGCTGCAGCTGCATTTGCTGCTGCTGCTTCAGTTGTCTGCTGCAGTCTGTTCGCGTTGTTGGAGTCTGTAGACTCCTGTTTCTTTCCCTAACACTTTGCTGCAGCAGCAGCAGCAGCAGCAGCAGGTGTAGCAGCAGCAGCAGCTGCTGCTGCAGACTCACGTGCTGCAGCAAGCAGCATTGTTGGTGCAGCAGCACTAAAGGGAGATCTTTATCTTTCTTCTTTTGCTGCTGCAGTTGCTGCTGCTGTCTTACTACACCTGCCAGCTAATTCTGCTGCAGCAACAGCAGCAGCAAATCTACAAGACAACAACAACAGCAGCAGCAGCAGCAGCAGCAGCAGGAAGAAGAGAAGAAGAATAATAATAAACAGCAGAAGCAAGACAAATATATTATAATTAACGTAAGCTAATTGTAACAACACAACTATCACCAACAGCAGCAACAGTAGCAGCTGCTGCAGTTGCTGCTGCTGCTGCTGCTGCTGCTGCTGCAGTTGCTGCAATAGATAACATTAAATATAATATATTGCCTTACCTATATTTGCTGCTGCTGCAGTTGCTGCAGCATGAATTGTTTTACACAACAAGCACATCTATTTGTTGCTCATACTCTGCTGCTGCTGCTGTTGCTGCTGCTGCTGCTGCTGCTGCTGCTGCTGCTGCTGCTGTTGCAGGAGAATGCGTGTTCGTCATTTATATAGTTTTTTACAAGAAAGAGATTTATTAAAAGAAAGTTCTCTTGATGAATTAAGAGGACAAAGAATTGGTATTGATGCACATTATTATTTACGGTGTATAGGCAGCTCCTGCTGCAGCAGCAGCAACAGCAACAGCAACAGCAACAGCAACAGCAGCAACAACAACAACAATAGTAATAGTAAATGTTGCCCCTGCTGCTGTACCTGCAGCAACAACAACAACAACAGCAACAACAACAGTAACAACAACAACAGCAACAGCAACAGCAGCAGCAGCAGCAGCAACAGCAACAGCAGCAACAGCAGCAGCAACAACAACAACAGCAGCAATAGAAGAAGAAGAGTATGTAATAATATAAGAAGAGAGAATGTATGGTATTTATTAGGAGAGAATAAGAGGATATTATTTGCTGCAGTGCAGCAGCAGCTGCTGCTGCTGCAGCAGCAATATAATATTATACCTATATTTATATTTAAGGGAATAGAACCTAATGGTCATTCATTATTTATACAACAATATAATTATACATTATTATTTAATTTATTTAATCAGCATACTCATCCTCCTCCTCCTCCTGCTGCTGCTGCTGCTGCTGCTGCTGCTGCTGCTTCTGGCGGTGGTAGTGATGCTGCTGGTGATGGGGGGAATACTGCAGCAGCAGCAGCAACAGCTAACAGCAGCAACAGCAATGGTGCTGCTCATACTAATGGACACAGCAGCAGCAGCAGCAGCAGCAGCAGCAGCAGCAGCAACAACAGCAGCAGCAATGGTTGTTTAGCAGTTCGCAGCAGCACTACTCCATGTATTTGTACGTGCTCCTGCAGCAGCAACAGCAGCAGCAGCAGCAGCAGCAGCAGCAATAATAATAATAATAATAATAATAATAATAGTAGTATAATAATAACAGAAGAAGTAGAGAATTATATACAGCAGCAACTGCAGCAAATAGGTATTGAGACAATTGTGTCTCCTTATCTGTCTCTTCCTCAATTATATTATTTATTATTTATTAATTATATTGCTGCTGCTGTTGCTCCTCCTGCTGCTGTACTCTTTGGTATTAATAAGGTTATATTACAAATACACTGCAGCAGCAGCAGCAGCAGCAGCAACAGCAGCAACAGGAAGAGTATTACCAACAGCAGCAGCAACAGCAGCAGCAGCAGCAACAACAGCAACAGCAAAGAGAATAACAGCAAAAACAACAACAATATCCAACAGCAGCAGCAGCAGCAAGAGACCCATCAAAAAGAAGAGGAGAAGGAGGAGAATAAGAATAAACAACAACAACAACAGCAGCAGCAACAACAGCAACAAGAGCAGCAACAA